TCCACTTGCATTTCACATGCTACCATGACTTCTAGCTATGATCTTGTGTTGTACATTGTTTGAACATGTTTTATGTATGTTATGTGTCATGTATGAACCATTTCTTGCAGAAAAACTTGTAACTTTTGGACTGTCAAAAAACCAGGTCACAAACTAGGTCCAACCTAGTCATTTTTTGCATGATCATTCAATCTGTCAAACCATGTGAGCATTTCTTGATTTATTTTGTGCTAACCTCTATATATGATGTATATGTGATGTTTGTACACTTGTTTCACCAAGCACACCACTACACATGACTGTCCATATGTTCTTGCATTTGGTTGTGACCAAAGATGCCAAAACCTTGATGCTATCGAATTTTTGTATGAGTGCATGGTATGGAAAAACAAATGGTACCATTGAATTCCTTGTTCAAAAATACACAATTTGAACTTTTGTTTCACCTCATTTGGATAAGATTTGACTGATTTCCAATCTTCTTGCAAATTGACCTTAGGTTGTGACCTTGCCTTGCCTTAGTTTTTTGTGCTATTGATGACATTATTTTTGAAAACTACTCCTTATCATGTCTATTTTCATTAAGTGAAAATGGACTGTTGAACTTCATCTGTGAACTTTTCCATGATTCTTGTTGTTGTAACCTCTTGAATATGCCCACTACACCTTATTTGTTTATGTGTCTTGTTAGAACCATAACATGTTTAGGGTTTTTTCTTGCCTTTGTAAATGCTTGAATATGCATGGTATACTTTGAATTTCATCTGTGAACTTTGACATGATTCTTGATGTTGTGACCTCTTGAATATGCTTGTCATGCTTCATTATACTTGTTTATGTGTTTTGTTAGAACCATAACATGCTAGGGTTTGATTGTTGACTTGGTTGTTACCATGAAACTTGTTTACTTCTCCCCATGAAATCATGAATTCATGCTTGAACTGTTGTAACATCTCTTGTATTCTTGCTTGTTTGATTGTCATTAATACATATTTAGTTAGTCTTATGTTGTTACATTTGATATCATTTGATCCTTATAACATGCTTTCTTCAAGTTGTCACTTGTTTGCATTAATCTTGTTTGAATGTTATAGATGAACTTTTTATTGTTACACATGTTCTTTACTTGCATTGATGGTTGTTAACTCTTTGCTTTTTGATCTTTGTTAAGATGTTAAATGTTGATCTTGATTATTGTTACATGTTCTTGCTTTATTTCTTCAACTTTGTCAAGTTATTCCCTAGTGATGGAACTTTCTAGTTCACATCAAGTTGTCTATGTCCTTGTGTCCAAAGGAAAGTCTCTCTATTGACCCCTGGATCATAGATAACTCATTACCCTCCATCTGACTTTGTTAAGTAACTTTGAACCCTAACTTAGTTAAGTTAGAACCTACTAGCCATTAGACTTTGTTTAAGTCTAAAAAACCCATGTTTACTAGGAGTGTTCTTCAACTAGAACCCTAAGATAGAGTTTGTCAACTCTATGTAAGAATCATGGTGATGATTACTTACTCCCTCCTTGGCTTTTGTCAAAATCAATCCCCTTGAGTGTACACCTTAGAATAGAGAGTTTTGTTAAACTCTACACAAACATTGTTATGTTTGTTCCCCCCTTTGAACCTTGTTCATAATCAAGTGTTCATTCATCTCTAATGAGGTGAACTACGATTGCTCTGATTCTATCCTAGTTAAGATACGTAGGTAGAAGATGTGATATCCTTGCGAGCAAACTTAGAAGATATCCTTAGGTCTTTACCCTAACCCTAATCTCAAACCATAACATAACCATAACAAGTTTATCATACACAGACACACAAAAGGTTTTTGTAGAGTACTGCAGATGTTTAGGATGTGAAATACCTACCCTAGGCATAACCAATTCCCGATCCCCGAATCTCTTAGTGTTGTTGTTACATCGCGCAAAAGGTCTTTCTTTCTTTAACCTTTCCTTTGGATAAATCAAAGTCCGGTTGTGAATTTAATGAATTAAGATTCAAGTTAATCAATAGCTTAACATCACGATTCTCACCGCAAGACATGTCCTTCGTCTGTTCTTTACCTGTCTTAGTTGTTTTTGGTTCTTAGAGCTTGGAAACTCGTAGTTCCACAAACTACGAACACTCTGATTTCTCAAGTTCCACTTGAGAATACGTAAGCACAAGGCCCCGATCCTTGGCGAGTACATTTTTCTTTTTTCCTTCATTTCTTCTTTTACACTATTTTCATCGTAGTTTCTGAACTACAATTGCTCTGACTTCCTATACATGATACGTAGGCATAGGATTGTGATGATCCTAGTGAGCTACCTTTTTCTTTTTCCACCTTTTCTCCTTTCTTTTCCTATCCTTACCTTTAGCAAACAATTTTAGCAAAACACAAATATTTCAAGAGGTTCCTGTAGAGTATTACAAATGCTTAGGGTGTTAATACCTTCCCTTAGTATAACCAACCCCCGTACCTTTGATCTCTCTTTGCTTAGATTTATGCCTTGCTTCTTATTTGTATTTTATTTACGAGTTATTCTTTCTTTTCCCCTTCTCTCGGATAAATTAAAGTTTGGTGGTGAATTTCATAATTTGTGATTCAAGTTAATTAATAGCTTGATATCCAATTCTCACCTCAACACATACTCATGGGTTATTCGATCTTTTTCCCCTCCCTTGGACAAATTAAAGACCGGTGCTGAATAATGATTTGTGATTCAAGTTAATCAATAGTTTGATATCCAATTCTCACCACGACAGGAGTGTGCTAAAAAAAATACTTTGATGTCTATATAAAGGAAAATGTAAGCATAACTTAAAGTAATGATGACCATACATGGGAGGCGAGCCCCTCTTTATTGTGATTATGAGCTCTAGTATGCTCTTGGTTGTTTTTACCTTCAATATGACAATCAATGCGCTTATAAATTGTCTTCACATGCATCTATCATGAGAAACACATCAAAGACAATTTCTATATCATCCCCTTTCAACTTATGTTTTCGCCTCAGTATTTCTTTATGGGGCCAAATTTGCAGACCCATATTTACAAATCTCTACATCATTTATTTGTCATCGACCATATTTACACGATACAAATCTCTACATCAATTGACCTAATAGTTATTTGGGTTGAAACGCTTAAACCCATAACATTACATCACTAATATAATCATCTTTTTAGACGACTACCAATATAATCATCTAATGTGTTTTGTTTATTTATAGATAATAATTCTGTAAAATAAATCTTACATATTTGTACAATTTAAACAATTTTCCATAACTTTGAATTTACAAAATTAGACTCCAATTGAATTGCACTTTCAAATCATTCTAATATAATATTAAGAGTTTGTTTGGATTGATTTATTTGAGTTTATATAATAATATGAGTTTTATAATACTCTTTAAAATATTATAAAAGTAATTTATAATATTTTTTATAATTATTTCTTAATTTATTCCCATACAATTTTCAAAATAACTTAAGAAAATAATTTATAACATGTAAAAAAGAATTTAATTTAATTTTACTTTTTATTATATTAGGTTTAATTATAGTTTTGATCTCCTATATTTTCTAATTCACATAATCAATTTTCACATTTTAAAGTCTAACAATATTAATCATTTTTTTTTTATATTTTTACATTTAAAATTAATGATTTATCATTTTTAAATACATGTCACTTGTGAAATTTGATAAATAATAGTTTACGAACCTTTTGTAAAATATTATTATTTTTGTGAAATTTTATAAAAATACTAAAAGTGTCACTTTAATGATTTGTAGTAAAAAAAGTGAGAAGAGACTGAGACTATTATTAAACTTAAATAAGAGAATTAATTTCATAAATCAAATAAATAGAAAAACTAAAATTGATGTATGTAAATTTATACATAAACACTTATTTTTGATATAAATTATCGTTTATCCAAACAAACCAGCTTTTTTTAGCACGAGTAAGTTCTATTTAGCAAGTAATCAAAATCTTTTGATGTAAGCACGTAGGTATTTAATTATTCTCATTTTTAGTACGAGACAAATCAAAGTTTTAAACCTTTAATAATGCACGCTCTACCATGCTTAGCACAACCTTTCCCATATATTAAATTAAGAAAAGAATTGCTATTAACATAAAAAAATTGTTATATATAGTAATAAATGTGAAATTAACTTTATAAGTATTTATTTACATATACTTGTTTGTTATGGTAAAAGTTATGTGTGGGTTGTACTCTGTCTGTCATCGACCATATCACTTTCGTCTCATTCTCACACATTACAGAGAAAGATTCGTCCCAATCATTCTCACTTCCTCTCCACCCCCAAATTCATAGCCATTCGAAACTCTTTCTCCACCAAAAAGGTTTGATTTTATCATGTATTTTGATGCGGTGTTCATCACTTTTCTGTAAATTCCATTTCCTTTTGCGTTCTTCATGTTTATTTATCGCTGCTTCATATAGATCGATGCGTTAAATCACATGTGAAATGTGAAATACCTTGAATTTTGAATCCAGTACTGTTACGAGGATATTCTACGTGAACTAGGGTTTGGAATTATGGATCCATGTCTATTTCTATTACTATTACTATTACAGTTGCGTGGTTGAGGATTGAGAATGAAATATGTGGTTTTTGTGGTTTGTAAGATTGATGATTTATTGAGAATTTGATTTCTTATGGAGTTATTTTGGATTTCAAATAGAAAATGGATCGAATCAAAACAGTTATTATTGCCATGTTTGGATATTGTTCAATTGTTCAATGAACATTTTTTTATCATCCTAATCAAAACAGTTAGTTATTATTGACCGTGAGATGTTTTTTCAATTCCGCAGATCTTGTCATTTGGGATTGGTCATCTGAAGTTGGAAATGGTTAAAAGGTTCGCTGGTGTCCACTTATGACGATTTTATAATGAATATACTAAATGGAAGAATATCTAACTGATTTATTTGTAGAACAGTTATGGAGCATTCTGATTCACAAGCGATAGCGATATCATGTTGCAGTGCTTAGAGGGATTCAAGTCTTTACTCGCTTCTGTATTACGTTGTTGTGATATTGATATTAACCAGCCAAGGGGCCTTGACGATCCTGAACTTCTTGCAAGGGAGACAGTGTGTATGCCATTAACGTTACTTTATTCTATTCATTCATTACTTGTTATCTCAGCAGCACTGACACCTCTGAAAAAAGTGTGTTCGTGTCAATATCGGTGTCCGAAACCTACACCGACACTTGTGATTACGTTAGTTTTTTATTTTTTCAAATTATTATTGGTGTCAACGTGTCGGTGTCGTGATTCCGGTGTCCGTGCTTCATAGCTTGCTACTTCTATTTTACAAGAAGATGTGATTATCTCTTTCTTTGTATTACCGAGTCTATTACCTTTCTCATTGCTGTTTTCGGAAATAAATATGCAATATATACTGAAGGCATCTATATGTTTTGAATATGTATGCAGTCAGTGTTAGTGAAATAGAAGCACTGTATGAACTCTTCAAAAAGATCAGCAGTGCTGTAATTGATGATGGGCTGATTAACAAGGTTTGTCTTCTTTATCAATGGACAACTTTGAAATATTATATTTCATTGATTAAACATTTTCTCTTGATGAAAGAAAACTTGTCACATTTAAATGTTTTGCTTATCAATATATCTATATGACAATTTTTTTTTCTTTCATTTCATTGTTTTCTTTCTTTGGAAGGGGGTTTACGTTTTAAGAAATATATAAGATGTTATATTCAATTTAGAACTCATTTTGCAGGAAGAGTTTCAATTGGCATTATTCAAGACGAATAAAAAAGAAAGTTTGTTTGCTGATCGGGTATTTCTTTCCCTTCTGTTTTATCTGTTTTTTTTTTGGGTGCAAATATCTTTACTTGTAAAGAATAATACTTCATTTTTGCACATGTGTGTGTGTGCGCCTGTGAAATGGCTGAAGAATGTTTGGGCTATTATATTAGTTCTCAATGTTTATTTATACTTGCTGAAGATATTTTTATCACTAGACTTTCTTTTCAATTTGGATCATCGATTGAGAATTGAGATTGATGCAAACAGATATTTAATGAGCAATCCAAGAAAGGGTTAGATTTACTTTTAGTTTTTAGACCTATATATAGTGTGGACTATGCTAGCTTGAAGGTATATAATTTTGAAGTCCGGTAAGGTATGAGTGTGTGCATGTATGTTTGTAGGTGTAACTAAGAAGTAAGCTTGCAATATATAATATGATTCCTAGTTAGTTGTTTTACCGGAAAATTTAGTGTATGTGCATTGTGCAAATTAAGGTGCTACGACAACGTCTGCTTTAATATATAATGCTTACTATCCTGTTCATACATTTTGCTTCTCACATGTTCCTTTACACACTCATTCAAGAAAAATCACTTTCTGAACCGATAATAAATATTATTTCGAAATTCTATTTTGTTTCTTGTGTTGTAACATCTGTCAAATACTGATTCATGTTACTCCATGTGATTAGTATATCTCATTTGAGCTTCTCTATAACATCATCTCATGTGATTAGGTGTTTGATTTATTTGACACAAAGCACAATGGGATACTGGGTTTTGAAGAGTTTGCTCGCGCCTTATCCGTTTTCCATCCAAATGCCCCTATTGATGATAAGATTGAATGTATGTTGTATATTTTTCTTTTAGCTTCTAATTTTAAGAAGAAAGCACATTTGGAGTCAATTCTTTAATGAGAAACGAGGTGATGCACTGTTAGTGTAAACTAGTTTTACATGGACGTTCAATGAGAATCCGATGTTATGCGGTTATCAGTAACAAAATGAGTTTACGTGGTAATATCATGAGTTTTCATTCGATGTCACTGTTAAACTATTTTACACCGACAATGCATCATAGTGGAACTTTTCTTTAATTTACACACACCATCATTCTCTTTAAATAAATGATTACTAAACCATTGTAATATGATTTTCCAGTTTCCTTTCAATTATATGATCTCAAGCAGCAGGGTTTTATTGAAAGACAAGAGGTAATTCATCTTCTCATATTCAATTCTAAGGTTTTTGTATTTCGTTTGAGACGAGCCTGATTTTTCTTCTTTTTATACAGGTGAAGCAAATGGTGGTTGCTACACTTGCAGAATCTGGTATGAATCTATCAGATGATGTTATAGAAAGTATAATCGACAAGGTGCTACCCCGGTCTTCTATCCCTTGCACTTCTAATTGCATACAACAATTTGAGTCTCTTCTTTGAAAGTTCACTTGAATAGTTTAACATTAAATTTCGGATTCTTTTAGACTTTTGAGGAAGCTGATACAAAGCATGATGGCAAGATTGACAAGGAGGAATGGAGAAACCTTGTTTTGCGCCATCCTTCACTTTTGAAGAACATGACCCTTCAATATCTCAAGTAATTTTTCAATCCATATTTTTCTAATAATTCTTTGTTAAATGAACTTCCAACACCCTCTTTTTCATTTCCATTTTATTTGGGTAACCCTTTTCTTATATAAATTTTCACGTGTTTGAGCAGGGACATCACCACAACATTCCCAAGCTTTGTATTCCATTCACAAGTAGATGATACTTAAGGGCAAGTATTTTGTTGATAGTTTTCACCTTTGGTTTCTCTGCCTCTGTGCTATGAGTCACCTCTCTTTCCTTTTTTCCCTTTTAAAATATAGTTGGTTGTTTTGCTTACCTTAAATTGGTGATATATTTGAGTAAGGTATTTGGTTTGATGGATTCATTTGCTGTGGTCATTCAATCATTCAGACTTTGTTCATGTAGAATCCGGTTAATCGGATTCCAAGTAATAATTCGCCAAATGTTTTAAAAACGAACTGTTCAGCCAGCTGAGCCTTGAACCGGTGTTTACTATGGTTCAATTATTTTGGCGGTTTAACCACGGTTTCACTCCATTTGAGCAGTTTGAGACGGTTGAACTATGACTCAGAAATCTTACCACATGAGCATAAACTTAGAAAAGACAAGATGAAAAATCATGTTTTCTCTAAGGTAGCTTTTGTTTTCCAAGAAGATATTTAGTTTGTCTTTCCTCTGTCTCTCACCAATCAAACACGTTGCAGAACAGATTTCACATGCTTTGATGTAGCATTTGTCTGTTCAAAATGAAGTTAGAAAACTTGAATGATATGGAATGTGTATAAAGAAAGACACGCCTTTTAAATTTCGTATGTAAATCAAATAACTTATCATCTTTCTCATAACAATTGTTTTTAAATTTTTATTTTATTTTAAATTTTAAGAAATTTCTAACTCACAAGTAAAAACTCCAATTTTTATTCTTGAAGTTATAATTTGCACAGTAAAGAAATGATCAAAGATTAGGAGGAGAATTTGTTATTGAAGAGTTTGGGCGGTAGTTTTAATTGTTTTAGGTTTAAACATTGAAGATGAAGTTGTAGAACACATGGTTTCTATTTGCAACACTGTCTTAATAGGGACCACTTTATTACAGCTATGAAGATGAAGATGAAGTTTAAATTTATTATTATTCTATTCTATTTTGTGCTTTGAAGTAAAATATGAAAATAAAACTTAGTTTTCTTGAAGAACTTATGAAAATAAATTGAAAAAACATTATAAACAATGTCATAAGTTGTTGTCATAAGTTTTTTTTTTATAAGTTCTCTCTAATAAATGGTATCACCAAACTTAGGTAAATTTGAATGAGACAATGAAAACAAACATTTAATCTCACCGATCTTTTAATTTGTTAGTCTATTTAACATTAGTTGAATTTCTTATTTACAAATGTTCAAATGAAGTAGGCTTTTAAATAGGCTAGTAGAACAATTAGACCTTAGAAATATCAGACTTAGGCCTAAAAATAAGCTTATGATAGGCTACAGGCTTAGACTTTGAATTTTTTAGCAGGTCAGACTCAGGTTTGACAAAGTCTAACTCGCCTCAACCTATTCACACCCCTAATTATGATATAATAATCCATCCGTTTCAAAATGGTTATCATTTTAGTAAATAAAATTCGTTTAAAAATGTCTGTCATTCTCAAATTTCAATGTAAAAATGATTGTTACTTTTTCAATTATATCTTTTAATTATTACTCTTTATACTACTTCCAATGCTTTAATATGACTAATTTAGTACTCCCCCCGTCCCACAATCAGTGGCCCGGTTGATCATTTCACATAGATTAAACAAAAAGTTGAAAGAGAGAGAATAATATTTTTACTAAAGTACCCTTATCATGTATTGGAAATAATGAAAGTAATATTAATTTGAGGGTAAAATTGAAAAAAAATGCATTGGAAATCAAAATGGTTCATTTATTTTGGGACACTCTTTTATTTTAAATAAATCACTCATTGTGAGACGAAAGGAGTAAAAATATAATACCTTATGACAATATTATTGCATTTCTTAATCTGTGTGAACAAATCTTAAACAACAGTCATTTTAAAACGGATGTACTGTGTTTCTTGAAACGAGTTGTTTACATCAAAATCATTAAAAAAAATCCATAACAATATCTTATGATAAAAAAGTTTAAAACATCAAAATATAATGATTCTAAGTAATGTTGCATCATTTAAAGATCACACTAAATCAAAATGTAAAATCCTAAGATTTCGAGCTTCTTGTTATCATCTTAGACTTTATTTCTATTAAAATAAACGTTTTCTTTAATTATTTTGGTTGGGAGGCTTAAATAACGTGGTTGAAATGCAACCTTTGTCTTAGTTTTTGCAAACTTAGACGTAAAAACATGTGCTGAAGTAAGCTATGCTGCTTATGTAGGGGCAAGTGCAACATGTGATGTGATAAGTCATGTTTTAACCACTTTCAGTTGTTTAGTTCTATTGTTTTATTTAGGAGTTTGCTCTGTTTTAGTTTTGATTTACTTTCGTTTTGTTGTTTTTGTCGAGTTTCAGGACTTTGAAGAGAGTTGTGCAAGTAAAAGCCATATTCAAGAGAAACAAAAGTTAAGCACGAGGGGCGCCTGCACCTTTGAGACGAACTAAGAAAGAAAGAAGAAAATTTGGCACATTACAATGGGACCCGTAATCACCATTATGACTGTAATTCTCCAAGGTTTTCAAATGCAAGAATATCGATTTTGACATAAAACAACAGGCAACTCGTAATGGGCAGTGCGCTCGTAACAACCACATGCTTCTCATGAATTAAAAAATACATCTTTGGTGCACATCATAGACCATTACGGCCAGCTCGTAAGAGCACCTCCAATGGTGCAACCCATTTTTAAATTTTTTACGGGATCCACTCTTTTAAAACAACTCATTCAATTTTCACTCTAATGGTGCAACTCTAAAGAATTCATATTGGATCCCAATATTAAATTTATTTTATTTAAAATTATAATTTAAATATTTAAATTTTAATTAATATAAATACAAATTAAACATAAAATTAAAATTAAACATAAAATTGAAAATAATAATTAAAATTAAATTTAAATAAATGTCACATAATTAAAAACAATAAAAAACAATAAAAAAATGAAGAACCATAAAAATAAAAATAAATAACTTTTTATTAAATTTAAATGATTATTTTAATAATAAAAAAAAATGAAGAACCATTTGTAACTCTAGCTGGAACAATTTTTTGTTGACAATTTCAATGCCAAGCTGACAAACCAATTTGAAAAACCACCGTTGGAGGTAGTCTAATGAACATTATAACAGTAATGGCTTCGCGTCCCTTGGAGTTTAGCTATTTTGCTGTATCATTTTCAAACATTTTTCTTCCAACTTATTTGAACCGATTAACCGATGCTTAACTACAAATTATTAGGCTATATAAACCAACTTGTAAAGATGAGTTTGAGAACATAACTGATTTTAGATTTCACTTGTATTTAGGGCTGAAAATGAGTCGAGTCGAGTCGAACTCACCTCAGCTCTGCTCGACTCGTTAAGAATTGTTCGAATTCGAGTTCGAGTTTGACACGGATTTTTTTTTAAGTTCAAACTCGACTCGTTATAAGTTCACGCAAAATTCGGTTCGACTCGTTAGGTTCATCTTAATCTGATTGAACAGAGAACACTGAAAAATGTCGAAGGAAACGTCAACTCCACTGAAGGTAACCTGATATCACCGAATCATCTCAGCAAAATAAATGCTGAAAAAGGGGGAATCAAATCTGCTGGGGATAACCGTCCTGCTGGAGAAACGGAAAGCAACCCTGCTTGGGGAGAAAGAAAAAACTCTGCTTGGGGATGCTCTCTTCAAACCATGGGCAACTGATTGTGCTCTGCGGGGATTGACCCAAGATGGGGTTGATTGCAAACGGCTCACTGCTAGAGAAGTGCCCATACTATCAAGGATATCAATCTTAATCTGCTGGGGATACTCCTGATCCTACTCTGATACGGGGTAAAATACAATCTCGACTCTTTTGGGGATAATAAGCAACTTTCATCTGCTGAAGAGTAGCAATTCTGATTTAACAACATCCACAAGGAATTCAAACATTACTCGGAGTACTGGTATCCGTCGAGCTTCGTATTGGGGAACATGACAACATGCGAGCCATTGGGAATTACTGTGTCAGGTACCTTTAGGTTTTTGTTTTTCTGGTTTAATATGAACATGGATTATGTACACAGTGGAAGATATGGAAAATACTAGACGAGAACCAGCATTCAAAGGTAGGCTACTAGGCGAGAACTGATAGGAAAATAGGTTATCGGACGAGAATTGATTTAGCAACGACATGTACCAGACGAGAACTGATACAACACTTGAAGAAACGGTGACCAGACGAGAACTGGTTACAATAAACTACACCAGATGGTTACCTTCAATGGTTACAATGATTGAACACTGAAAAATAATCTCCTAAAAGTACTATCCTACTATCCTGGAAAAAGTCAAATGGAAAATAGTCCCCTAACAAGTGGACTTCTAAACTACCCCTAAAAATGTAAAAAGTCCCCTAACAAATGGACTTCTAAAACTATCCCTAAAAGTGTAAAATAAACTCTATGAAAATTACAAGAATTTATGCTAAACACTATTACCTAAATTCTCTAAAAGAAAATTAAACTATTTCCCTAAATGAAAATATAAATCTCCCTAAAAATATATTCTAAGACCTAAAATGAAGCTCATATTTTTATCTTGTTTTTCTCAATATTCTTATCTTCTTTTTTCATGTTTTTCTTTTTTCAATCTTTTTTCATTATTCTTTTCTTTTTTTCCTATATTCTTTTTCTCCATATTTTTTCAATAATTCTTTTTCATAATCTTTTCTTGAATCTTTTCTTCTTTTCAAATTCTTTTTATCTAACAACTAAGAAAAAAAATTACAAGAGAAACTAATGAAAGAAATATAGTGGGGAGGGGGGGTACAGGTTACAAAGGGATGACAATCAGTGATAAAACTACAAGCCCAGCACATACTGAAAATAAGCACACAGCAGGGAGGGGGTAAGAAAAATAAAACGGAGGTCTGCATCTAGGAAACACATGTTGGGCCCAGCCCAATATTCACCCAGGAGAGAAAAAAAACGGAGGGAGGTGTTGCCAGAAAAAAAACCAAAGGGCCCAAAAACCTCCAAACCCGGTCCAATCTTCAGA